AGTGGTGGGAACTGAGTGGCTGAAAATAGAAATGTGTATAGGTGTGATGGATTGCCTTTTCAGAGTAGAGTCTTGTGATATTCAAGTTTTTAACCATGGAATAATTTTACTTTGGAAACAGATGAAATAAATTTAAATTTTGAAAATTGTTTTATTTACTTTAAACATGAGATAATATGGTTTGGTAGAAAATACTGACACTTAAAGTTAGAAATCATGATTTCAAATCCTGATTGCATCATTTCCTGGCTAACTAACTTTGGGTAAGTCATTTCACTTCTTAGAATTACAGTTTTTCATTTGAAAATCAGGATGATGATAGCTGCCCTGCTTATCTGGAAGGATAATTGTTAGTTCATTAGGTAAACATATGGTGGGGCACATAATCTGCTAGGTGCTTATATGAGACAGGGCATTCACTTTAAAGTATGAAAGTAGGCAAAATTTCAACCTTTTGTGATAATAGAAAGAAATATGCTATGAAGATCCATCCATAGGATCCACAGTGTCAGCTTGGGAGAGTGGTAGGGTTGGTGGTAGAGTGGTCCTCCTAAAAGACAAGGACATTTGAGTTAAGGTTTGAAGAATGCTTTGGAGGAAGAGATAAGGAGAGGAGCCATTCCACTCAGAATAAGCAACATCTCCAGCCCCATTTCATCTTATATATTTCGGAATTTGGTAAGGCAGTGTACTGTAGCAGGTAATTTTGGTAAGGCAGTGTACCGCAGCAGGTTCTTCCTTAGTTTTACTGACCCCCCAAATGTAACTAATTATCAGATGAAGCTTGGGAATAGTGGAAATGTCACTTGGGACTTTATATTGGCCACAAAAGGATGAGTAGAAAATGACTAAAACTCACTGATGATAACTAACACTATATGCACTTTACTGTATAGGCCATGAGCTCTAAATCCTCAGATTCTGATGTTACTCTTCATTTCTCCCCACTGAGGAACTAGTGAGAATTCTTAATTAATGCAATTCACTTACATTTTCCCAGTTCAGTAGATTTTTCCACCCTACATCCAAGTTGTAAGTGGATACACTTTCCCTGGTTTTCTTTGTAGCACCATTATACATCTTACCCCCATCATTCTATATAGTTTATAGACATTAGTATCTAGCTACTTAATACTCTCCTATAAGTTACAGTTTAGAGTCTTTGTAGCTTTGGCCATAATTGGGTCACTTGCACATGCCTAAACTATCACTTGGCAAAGGGAGTAGGGCCATTATGATTGGCTTCTTCCTTTGGAGGACATGACTTCTTGGATAATCATAAACAAAATTGTATAGTGTTGGCAAGTAAGAAGTGGAGGAATAGCTGCTCGATATGCAGTTGACAATGCCTGCTGTAATTGAGCACTTTTTTACATGTTCAAATGTTTGAGAATTTTTTTTTTTTAAAGTGCATTAGTAGTGGCTAAGGGTATGGAGTTTAGAATGAAACTAGAATGACACTTAACAAATTTGAGGACTTGGACAAGCTATTGAAGCTCTGTGAATTTCAGTTATTACTAAAATGGGAATAATAGTAGTACTTATTTTGAGAATTAAAGGCTTGGCTCATAGTAAGTGATCAGTATGTGTTAGCTACTTTTATTATCATACTTTAATTTTAGCTTATCATGAATGGTTTAGGCTTTTTTCTAAACCTATTATATGTCATGTTTCATGAGGTACCAATATTATAACAATCTTTTCTTGAATTGTAACTGTGGAACTTCACTAAACAGCAAATTTGGGGAGAGCAAATAAGGCAATGGCCATTGGAAATGCTAAAAAAAAAATCAGAAGTTATTCATCCAACCTTACTACTTTCATCAGTGTTTAGCTTAATTTTCATTAGTAGTATCATTTATGAACTAGTTTCATGAAATACAGTAGCATGGGTTTCATATCTGAAATACTGATGTCTTAAGTTCTGTTTTAACTAACGACCCTTTTAAAAACATTGTGGAGAGGCATAATTAATAAGACACTGTAAAATGGAGATATTACTACTTAAAATAGGGTTGTAAGTATTACTGTGTTTCCCCAAAAATAAGACCCACCAAAAAAATAAGCCCTAGCAGGATTTCTATGCATTTGTTAAATATAAGCCCTACCCCGATAATAAGACCTAGTGATGGTCTTAGTGATTTCCATGTGGAGCCGTCAGGAAGACTGGAATACCTTTTACCGGCTAGAGGAAAGGAGTTCACGCATCACTAGCGCCAGCCCCACCAACAAGGTTGGCTCCCCCTGTCAGGTTACAGAAAAAGATGACTTAACTGTATTTAAATAAATGTAGGTTGTTGTATTATACTTAATAAAAATAGGACATCCCCTGAAAATAAGCCCTAGTGTATCTTCTTGAGAAAAAATAAATATAAGACAGTGTCTTATTTTCAGGGAAACACGGTAAATGCAGTAAAGTTCTCTAAGAGATCTGTTCATATTTGGTCTTCAGTATAAATGTTTTCTTTTTCTTCATCTCTCACACACTACGCATTTTAAAAGTATTGCTTGTTTCTTCAGAGACAGGAGAGTTTATCAGTAGAGAAGAGCTGTATCAAGATAAAGGAAGTCCATACTAGAGATTTCAAGCAGAGGAGTTTAATACAAGGAATTGATAATAGATATTGATATATTTTTTATAAAACACTAAACTTTCATTAGCTGACCAGGGATCGTCTTAGCATAGCCACCACTTACAACATGGTTTTTTGGTAGACATTTCTTAGCTTTTAAACTAACTTTAAAAAACAATAGAACCTCTATAAATTGACCATCCACAAATATAACCATTTGTGTTTGTGTGGTGAGGGGGGGAAGGATCCTGGAGTTTCTAATTGGCACTTATAATTGAGAAGAAAAACACATTACTTATTTATCATATCATTAGTATCTTCTCCCTTCTACTCAGTGTCTCCATTCCTCCATTCTTAAAGAGCCCACATTAAGATTTTTTATTTAGACTGATTGTTTTCCATTCCTATATAGCACAGTTTTAATGTTGGGACATTTTTTTCCTACATTAGACTGCTACTTTATGTTGACTGTGGCTTCTTGGTCTGATGGCTTCTTTTCTTAATTTTCATCTTCCATTTGTTGAGGTACATTTTTAAGTAAATTTTTCAGAAAGGAGGCACAGCAGATAAACTATGATTTTTTGAGTTTTTATATAGCTAAAATTAGTTCCCTTTACCTATAACCTCTTTCATCAGTTATTCCCCGGACTTAACTGCCTTTTTCAGATCTTAAGTATCCTCTTCTCAAAGAAAGCATCCTGACCCTCCTAGTTTAAATTTATTTAATTGCCTTTTTTCCCCATTGAAAGGGATTTTTGTAGTTTTGTTTACTGCTGTATCCTTGGTGCTTAAAATCATGCCTAGCATATAGTAGCCTCTTAATAATTACTAAGTGAGCTAATGAATTTTTCTTTCATACATTATTATAGTTATAAATCTAGGTTATAAATCATTTTCTCTCAGAACTTTGAAGAGATTGGGCCATCATCTGATATCTAATAGTGTCATTAATGAGAAATATAATGTCAATCTAATTCTTCTTCCTTTTATATAGATGACCTATTTCTTTTTTTGAAAGCTTTAATTTTCATGTAGTTCTGGAAATCCTTGATGTTGATAGGTGTCGGTTTTTTTCATTGATCCTACTTGGCATTTATGAAGTCCTTTCAATTAAGATTGCAATTTTTCTCCCTCTGGGGAGTTTGTTTTTGTTTTTTTTTTCTTAAAAAAGAATTTGTCCCCTGCCTTTTTCTCTATTGTCTACAATTCCTGTTGGTTGTAACGAACCTATCAGATTTATTTTCTCTCAGTGTTCCAGTTTTCTTGTTTTTCTCATTATAATTTTATATTTCTTTAAGGGTAAGTTTAAATATGCGTATTAATGTTTAATGGCAAAATCTGGTTACTAGTGGGTGGCACCTGTGGCTCAAAGGAGTAGGGACCAGCCCCAGCCAAAAACTGCAAAATAAAAAAAATTTTTTTTTAAAAGAAATAAAATATCAAATCTAGGTTAAAATAGGAGTAGATTACTTGGATATTTATATTTTGTTTATTAATAACTAATGACAAAGGTGGCTTATCACATTAGTAGGAAAAGGAAATATTAGTAGGTCACTGGTTAACTGAAAAGGGGTTAATCTAATTTCACATCACTGTATATTTTAAATATTTTGCAGTATGAAAATATTTCATGTCTGTAAAATTTATAGGTAGGGATGTTCATCACATTATTATTTATCATACAGGAACATCTTGAATACCCAATAGAATATACTTCACTATGCTGTCATCTTGGTACTATGAAATGCACTACAGTATTAACAGCTGTATTATCAAAGAGCATTTAATGACATTGGAAATGATTTATATTTCTTTTATTTTACATTTCTAAATATAAATTCTTACATGTTGAGAGAAAAGATTAGTAGAAAATATGCAAAATATTATACAGATTAATAAATCTCTTGGACCCATGTGTTTCTGAATTCTAAATTTTTTATAACAGTAATATGTACATTTATATAATAGCATCTAGAGAAGTACTCTGTAATCAGATACATTAATATTTCTGCAGTGAAATATGACTATTCACTTTAAGTGGTATGCATAAAGTATATCAATATTTATAACTATTTTAGTCATATTTTTCTACCACATGAATTTGTGTCAAACTTAATAAAAGCTTTCCCGTTTTTTTCGTTTTTGGATTTTAGACGTATATGCATTTTGGATCAGTAATAAAGAGTAGTGAGAAATGGTTTTTAATTTTGCGTAAGTTATTATATGTGTGGGACTAAACAAGCATGAGTATTTTACTTATAACTATGACTAAAATATTTTTCTTCCTTTCCCCCTAAATCTAGTATATTTATTTTTGTATTTTGGGTATTAATATGCTTTGTATTTATATAGTTTTTTTTTTCTTTCTTAGAGTTTATTCTCTAGAGAGAAAACTGATTCTCTGAAACATTTTTGGCTTATTTATAGATTGGTCAAAGAAAAAGTGATGTATGAAAAGGAAGCAAAACAACAAGAAGAAAAGATTGAAAAAATGAGAGCTGAAGACGGTGAAAATTATGCTATTAAAAAGCAGGTAAAATTATGTCATAAATAATAGCTAATATTTACAGAATACCATATTAACTATTGTAGTCTTTACAACAGCTCTCTGAGTTGGCACTTCTTTACTACTTTTAAAACCTACCCTTACAGGTAAGGAAACTGAAGTTATTGGTTAAATAATGCTCATGGTCACACAAATGCTAACTGGCATAGCTGAGATTTGAACACCAGCATTCTGGCTTTACAATCTGTGCTCTTAACCACTGAGCATACTGCCTCTCCAGTTCTATGTATTGAATATAAAAATAGGTTAATTTTATATTAAATATTTTTAAGTGTTTAAATTCACAAATATTTTTTCAAACTAAAATATGTATTGTGGTTTTCAGTGACTTCTTATGTTTGTCCTTGTAACAAATTTTTGTCTCCTTGCATACAAGGCTCTTTTTGATTTTGGCATCTGCTTATCTGATGTTACTCTTACTAGTCCCAACCTGGACCACCTTCTCCTTTGCCTTTGAGATTTTTCATGTTCAGGGTGCTCATTCTACTTCTCCTGCCTACCTTCTCCTAACCCTTGTTGTAACTGTCAGTGACGTTGTCATCACTCCTTTTTTCTCATCTTACTTGCCTCAACAACATTTGACACAAATGGCCTCTTTGGTAGAACAGCCTCCTGGTTTTCCTATTTCACTACCATTGTTTCTCAGCCTCCTTTGCTGACTCAGTCTTTCTCTCTATCCTTCTACACCCACACACACACACACTTTTTTTAAACCTTTAAAAGTTCTTTCAGCAGTTCCTCTCTAGGTAGTTGCATGCCATCTTGATAGCCTTAAATGCCATCTTTATGTTCGTTCCTTTATTCATTAAATAGATATTTATTGAACTACCTGCTACATGCCAAACACTGTTCTAGACACTCTTTTAGGCATAGCATTAAAAACAAAAAAACGGCATCCCTACTTACTTGGTACTCATTCTAGTGCTATTGACTCCTCTAAGATTATGTCTCTGAGTCTGACCACTCCAGATGCACATACCCAGCTAATCACCTACTTGACATCTCTTTGGTGTCCAAAATAAAAGTCTTAATCTTCCCCCAACCCAACCTAACCCACTTACCCACTCACCTACCCTAAAAGCTATTCCTTCTCTTTTTTTCTCCATCTCACTAATTGGTCTTTCCACTCATTCAGATATTCATGCTAAAAATTTAGTGGGTCCCTTTGTGATAACTTCTCTCTCTTTGAAGTAATCACATCTAATATCACCAAGTCCTATTTCTTATTCCCTCTCATTTTCTCTCCATTGCCATTATTCTAGTCCTGTTCACATATCAGCTCTTGCCCGTGCTATTGCAAAAGGCTCCTAATTGGCATGCCTCTTTGACTCTTGACATCCACCTTTCCTTCCCCACCACAATAGCTAAAATGTTCTCTTTAAAATGTGTATCAGATCACTTGCTCCTCCTCTTAAAATCTGGTATCCAGTGCATTTAAAATAAAATCCAGATGACATCAAGATAAAGCAGAGTGTGAACTTGCTTAAAATTTTTCGAATTTGCTTTGTGAACTCACAGTGGTTTTTTGTTTTGTTTTGTATTTTCGAGATGGAGTTTCACTTTATCACCCTTGGTAGAGTGCTGTGGCATCACAGCTCACAGCAAGCTCCAACTCTTGGGCTTGAATTTGAGCGGTTTATAGTGTTTGAGGAGTTGATCTATTTCTTCTAAGTTAATTTGTGAGCATAATGAATAATATTTTAGTATTATTTGTTATATTTCTTTATTCTCCTTTTAATAATTGCAGGATCTGGAGTGATATCCTCTATTTTGGTTCTTCCTTTGATGATTTGTTCATTTTCTCTTTTAACATTGTCTACTAAACGATTATCAATTTTTTTCTTTTCAGAAAACTAGCTTTAAAAAAAAAAAGAAAAAAAAAAGAACTACATATTTTGGGCAGCACCTGTGGTTCGAGGAGTAGGGCACCGGCCCCATATACCAAAGGTGGTGGGTTCAAACCTAGCCCTGGCCAAAAACTGCCAAAAAAAAAAGAAAGCCAGCTTTTTGTTCATTGAGTTTTATTCTGTTATTTTCCTGTTTTTAATTTCACTAATTTCTGCTCTTATTGTTTATATTCCTTTCTTTCTGTTTGGTTGGGATTTATTTGCTCTTCTTTTTCTAAGTTCTTGAAGTAAAAATTTACATTATTAATTTTAGACCTTTCCTTTTTCCTAATGTAAGCATTTAGTGCTATAAATTTCCTAAGAACTAAGAACTGCTTAGCTTCACTCCATAACATTTGACATGTTCTATTTTCATTTATCTATGTATTTCTTTGAGACTCTCTTTTTGACATATGGTTTATTTAGAAATACATTGTTTAATTTCTAAATGAAGATTTTCCTTTTTTCTGTTATTTCACTTTTATTGCATTATAGTCAGGGAATGTACTACATAGGATTTCAGTTATTTGAATTTGTTGAGGCTTTTGTTTTATTTTTGGTGTGGGGAGTTTATTGTTGTTTGATATGGGGGGGCTTGACCCAGGATATGGTCTACTGCAGTAAATGTTTTCATGGATACTTGAAAAGTATTTGTGTTCTCTTTCTTAAATAGAACATTGTTTGTTTGTTTTCTGAAGAGGAGTGTTCTGTAAATGTCAATTATAGCTTACTGACTGATAGTGTTGTTCAGTTTTTTTTTTATGTCTTTCCTGATTTTTGTCTAATATTTCTATCAATTACTTAAAGTAGGATGTTGAAATCCCCGACTATGTATGTGGATTTGTCTGTTTCTCCTTTCAATTCTATCAGTTTTTGTTTTGTGTATTTCAAAGCTCTGTTGTATAGTGTATAAACATTTTAGGATCACTCTTTTCTTAGTGGATTGATCATTTTATAATGTAACATCTGTCTTTGTCCCTGATGTTTTTGCTCTGAAGTCTGCTTCATCCAGATTAATATAACAACTTCTGAATGATTATTTGTTTATGGTGTATATTTTTTTAAACAGAATGTTATTCATCACCCTAGGGTAGAGTGCCATGGTGTCATAGCTCACAGCAACCTCAAACTCTTGGGCGCAAGTGATCCTCTTGTCTCAGGCTACCGAATAGCTGGGATTGCAGATGCCTGCCACATTGCCTGGCTGGTTTTCTTTCTTTTTTTTTTTTTTTTTGGAGACAGAGTCTCACTTTGTCACCCTTGATAGAGTGCTATGGCATCATAGCTCACAGCAACCTCAAATTCTTGGGCTTAAGCAATTCTCTTGCTTCAACTTCCCAAGTAGCTAGGACTACAGGCACCCACCACTACACCCAGCTATTTTTAGAGATGAGGTCTTGCTCTGGCTCAGGCTGATCTTGGCTAGTTTTTCTATTTTTAGTAGAGGCAACATCTCACTTTGCTTAGCCTGCAGAACTCCTGAGCTCAAGTGATCTGTTCACCTTGTCCTCCCAGAATGTAAGATTAGAGGTGTGAGCCACTGTGCCCTGCCCACTCTTGATTTCTTGAATTAATATTTTAAAATATTTGTATAATATGTTTTTCCTTCATTTTATTTTCTGTTTATGTCATGTTTGAAGTGAGTTTCTTGTAGATAGCATGTAGTTGGGTCCAATCTGTGAATCTCTGTCTTTTAACTGGTACCATTCACATTTAAAGTAATTATTGATATGTTAGAGTTTAAGGGCCCAAATTACTTATGACTCATTAGATTCTTATTACAATCTTAACCATTAACCAATAGCCACAAAACATAAGTCAAATAGATTTTTTGACATGTGGGTACATAACATTTTACCATTATATAAATGTCTTAACCATTGTTCCAATAATCTCTGTATTACTGTAGAGCTCAGTCTGGCAAACTAAATCAGTTGCCATTGATTTCAGAGGCAGCCAGTAGCAATATTAGATTGACTATATATTATTATAGCTATAGGTATAGATAGTTTCTAGTGAATGATCTGGATCATTAAAGAAGCTGGAAAATTTATTCCAACTGAGCAATAGCCTAAGACCTTGAATGACATTGACCAGATTATTTCAGAGAACTCTATCCTGAAAAAATAAAGATCTGCCAATTAGGATTTTTTTTTTTCCAGTTTACGTATGTTTCACTATAAAGGAAATTGATTAGATTTTAGGTTTGGCAGTTTAATCATTGTTATAATGTGAGAGTTGCCAAGTTTCCTCCCAGCTTCCATTTTACCTGAGTCACTAACAACAACAAAAAAGGCTTGTTTTAAAAACTATTAGACATCAGTAGGTTGCATCCTATTGTGTTCCCCAGAGATGCCTTGTATCTCCCAATGTGTGCCAAGATCCTGATTAACCTCATTCTCATCATAGTCAACATTAGACTAAACTGACAGTTTTTTTGGATATTTTAAACAGAGGCACCATTCATGTGAATGTAACCTCCTAAGGGAAGCTCTTTGAAAGATAATGTTCATTTAATTAAGTTCACTTATTTTGGGGGTATCTTTATCATATGATTACACCTCATATACTGTTCAAATTCCTGACAGTTGTAATTCATTTTTACAAGTACAGTATATGATTTATGGCTTTGATGGAGATGTGATTTATGGATTCCAGATTATAACCATTATTGCATTCCTTTGGCTCCCTGTGGCATGATCTTCTTGAGGCAGTGTCAAATGTTTATTTTCATGTTTATGCATCTGTACTGGATTAGAGGACAGAAACCTCTTTTTCATCTTTGTACTTCCTATACCTGACATTTAACAGACATGTTGGTACCTATTAAACGAATTAGGGTGGGATATAGAAGAGACTGGTCTTTGGCCCTGTTTAAGTCTTGTTCCGGTAGACTAATTGAAGATTCTTTCTCTGTAATAATAGGTAGAATAATAATTAATAGAAGTTATTTTGGATAACACTGTTTAAAGTTCATTTTAGTAACTATTTTTTAAAAATTTCTGCAAATAACACATTTTGACTGCTTGTGGATTTAATTCCTATAAGCTGTGAAGGGAATTCCATAGGAGAGGAAATACGAATCACCCAATAGGAAATGTTCCTGTTGCTGATTTTTCATATATATATTCAAACTAACCAGATAAGCAAAAAATAATTTAGTGGCAGTGATTAAATATCTAGGTATAGTATGATCAGCTCTAAGGTAAAATCATAATCATATGTTTGACATTTTCAACCTGTGCCTTCTTGTAAAATAGTTTTAGATTCACCAGTAGCTTTGCACCTGAGAAAATGGATATGAATATGCATAATATAATTGTATATTATGATTCTGTAATTTTTTTACAAGAAAATAGATATGGATAGAAAATATAATTGTATATTATAATTCTGATTTTTTTACAATGTGCACCATGACAGAAGTTTGGGGAATGGAAGATACTGGGATTTAAAGTTTCTACTAAAATACAGTATTATTACCATTAAATTATGTCTTTATTTCACATAAATGAAATACTCTTCTTAGCAATAGTTCAGATTTTGTACCTGTTTTTTGGAAAATCTTAACCAAACATTATTTTTTGGAAGTAAATATTTAGATGATCTCTGTGTCTCTTTCTGGGAATAATTTAAGGAAATAAACCTTCCTGAAGGTTTATTCAATACTACCTTAAGTAAAAGTCTTATTTGAGGTCTAGCATCTGATACTCATTTATTCACTTATTGATTGGATTTCCCAGTCATTGATTGGACTTTTTCCTTCCTTTATGATTTTATGTGTTACAGTCTTGCTTTGAATGGTGAATTTTAAGTCCAGAAAGATCCTCTAGAATAAATATTCCTGTGTTTAATTCTGTAGTGTCTGTCTTCAGGAGGAGGAATAGGCACGAAGTTCAGATTCAGAGGGGTGCCACATTGGTAATTTGGCTCAAACTGCATGGGGAGAATAATCTTTCTCCTAAAATGAAACACAAGGATAAGTAATAACTTTTTATGCATGATAAGCATCAAAAATATGAACCTGCTGGTCTTTGCTTTTCATTTTTCTTTACCTCTGTCTTTCAGTGAGAACCTCCTGCAGTGTGCGCACGATGTGATCAATAACTCAATAATGTTTTTTATGCAGTAATTATCTCCATGTGATATTATCTGCACACTGTTTTTCTTTATTACTCAAAAGATGCTGGAGATATTTATATAACCAGCTGATCCCATTTTGGATGTAGGTGCTTTGTGACAGCAGGGGAAATAGTTTATTTTAAATAGCCTTTTTAAATAAATGCTCTATGAAAAGCTTTTCCAGTTAATTTTCACTTAGCATGAGAAGGTGATTACCAAAAATATTTAGTTCTAAAACTTGTACTTTGTAGATTTTAGAGTGTGTTGGTCTTTTTTTCCTAAGTTCTAAGAGATACGATTTCAAATGTTGAACCATTTAATAAAACTACAATATTTTTCTGATTCCTCTAAATCATTAGAAACTTACCAAGGCACACACACGAACACCCGTAAGTCTACTATGTCTGCATGTCTCACAGAGATTCTCATTATAGACAGAGATCCTGCAAGAGTCCCGGATGATGATTCCAGATTGCCAGCGCAGATTGGAAGCTGCATATATTGATCTTCAGCAGATGTTAGTAAGTAAGATTTCTCTGTCTTACATTTAAACTTTTTTTCAGTCTAATACATAGAAGGCCAAAATTTTAAACATTTAACACTGAGAGCTAGTTGGAGATATTTTTTATTTATTTTCCCTGTGTGCTAGTATATTTTTAAATAAATAAATGAATGTTTTGAGTTGTTTTCTAGTATATTTACTATATTTATTTAAACTTAGTTAAATGTATTTGAGTTGTGATAGTAACAGTATTGCCCAGCAGTATCTTGAATTATTTGGTTTTTATACATAAAGTTATTTTTTGACACATTAAGGGTGAGTTGAGTGTTTGAAATTTAAAAATATCAAGTATTTGAAATGAATCTGAATCCTTATGAGAAGGATCTGAATTCTTTTAGAAGAGTAGGAAGTAAAACCTGGTAATATAAGCAGTCCCCTTATATTAGCTTGATGCTGAATAACACTTCTACTTGCTGGTATAAATGCCTCATGAGATAGAAGATAGATAAAGCCGGAAATAATTACTATGTTAAAATACTACCTAAGACAGGAAGCACCATTTGTATTTCTTGACAATTTAAATGAATCTGGTAGCTGGAAAGATAATAGAAGTAGCTTTAAAAAAGTTATCTTTGGATGATACATTTGTGAATGAAGATGTATTCAACAATATATCTACCCTCAAAGAGCTTATATTTACTGACAGAAAACAAAGGCATGTTGAAGGTATAATGTAGAAGTTTAAGAAATCCTTATCTATAGTTAGAGTTAAGCAAATTCTCAGTCTTTCTCCTTTAAGTGTTTATATTAAATACACACATCCTTTATTCTCTTTTCTCCATAACTGTGTATCTCCATCTTGTATTGGCCTGGCACAAATTAATAACCATAACTTCACTTAAAAATTAAGCAAAATTTCCTTTGTATAATAATTTAGATGATCTTATTTCATTTGTTATGATTATAGTATAGTGGTAAAAGTTTCCTTTTAGAATCAGAATCATGGAAAAACTTAATCTTTAAATATTGGAAAATGAAAGATGTTGTTTTTTGTTTCCTTTAGTATAGGTTATGTATTATCATTAACAAGCAGGCATTCAGTCTTTGAATTTTCTAATTTGTGAGTAGTTGGAGGATTATTTTGGCCTGAATATTGTCATATATGTAATATGTTACTAAACCTTTTTTTGACTTCTCCCTTTTGCTTTTGTATATGATGATATGTTGACAAAATGAGAATAAAATTTTTCTGAAGTTTTTATTTTAATTTCTTAATGCCAATAGCGTTAGATGGCTGTGTTACTTTTTATGTGACAATATATTATATGAAATATACAGTGAAACAAAAGCAAAACTATGGGAAACTTGTGGAATTAAAATAAATGTGGGTGAAGCTTAGGGTCATTTTTCTCTTAACTTTTGAGTTATTTATGTTAATAATTTATAATATTTGAAATTTGAAAAAGATAAACTTAATTTTTATTATATTTTATTTCAGGAAAGTGAAAAAGACTTGGAAGAAGCTGAAGAATATAAAGAAGCACGTTTAGTATTGGATTCAGTGAAGTTAGAAGCCTGAAACTTTTCTGTACAGGGTGTTTTTTTTGCATAAAATCCTGGGGGTCCATTCTACAATTCATTGTTTTTAACCACTGCTGTGTTCAAGTAGTATGAGAAAGTGATTCTTTTTATGAGGTTGCAAATATTTTATCTTTGCCTATTTAATGTGTCAAATAAATGAACTCATCTAATAAAATTGTTTATTTCATACCTTACAAAAATTTTTAATTCACCTTTTATTAAGTCGCATAGATTCTATGACAATTAAAATCTATTAGGTTCGGTTTGAAATCTAGATATTTTGTTTGATAAGTATGGCTCCAGTTAGAAATAGGATGCCATTTTTTCAGATAAAAATCCAATTTTTAGCCAAGCATTTTAGTGCATGCCTATATTTCTAACTACTTGGAAGACTGGAACAGGAGGATCACTTGAACCCAGGACTCTAGGGCTGTAGTTCACAATGATCATGCCTGTGAATAGCCACTGCATTCCAGCCTGGGCAACATAGTGAGACCATGTCTTTAAAAATATATATATATATAGGGCGGCGCCTGTGGCTCAAAGGAGTAGGGCACCGGCCCCATATGCCAGAGGTAGCAGGTTCAGACCCAGCCCTGGCCAAAAACAGCAAAAAAAAAAAAAAAAAAAAATATATATATATATATATATACACACACACACACACACGTATATTTTAAGCTGTTTATTCTGAATAGGGTATAACTGGTAAGAAACAAAGATTACTTTGTGAACTCTGTATAAGACTCATATATTTATCCCTTCACAAGAAAAACCTAACATTTGCATTGCTATAAACTAATGACAAATATTTATGTCTTTTTTTTTTAAAAGACACATATAAAAAATGATTTAGACTTTCTATGAACAAGGAGGAATTCAATTATATTTTAAAACATTAGTGGCTATTATCAGTCATGTGCTGGGAAATGTTTGAAGTCTCCTGAAAATGGGAAGGGAACCTCTGATTTGTAGCTTTTGTTGATCTCTGTGGTATAAATATTCCCACCATGTCTGATTTCAAGCTACTAATGTGACATCACTAAACACAGAGCTTGGAAGATTTGAGCCAGCTCCAGCATACACTGGCCATAGCCAAGCCTTGATTATCTTGATTGGGAAAAAAGTATCATTTTGTCACAAAGTATTTTTCCAGTACAATTCTAAACCTATTACCTAATCATTTGAGTTTATTTTGCAAAAATAAATGACAACTCATTTAGTCTTCGTATTTTTCTAGAAAATGTGTGTGAGCCTTTTATCATCAGCCTACCATGACACATTGATATAACAGAAATTCTACTGATAGCATTTAAAATTTTTAAACTCAGACTTGGTAAAAAAGAAAACTTGAAATTTTCCTGCCATACAGTAGTAGTATGGTTGGTCTGATTTTGGAAGTTGCAAATAATCACTAGAAATCTTAACGTGTATTTATTAAATCCATCAAAAAGATCAGAAAAGAGAAGAATATTATTCTTTCCTAATGTTATTTATAATGGCTTCTGTTGTTATAAAGCATCAGCTGTATCACTTATAAAATAAATTCTTATATAAGCCAAAAATGACTTCATCAGAAAATAGTGTATATCAGAAGAATTTCTAAATTGAAATATCATCTCATGTACATGCCATTTTAAAAGTATTTGAAGTAAGGAAAGGAAGAATTTAGAAAATAAAAACTAATTATAATTATGGTATAAAATTTAATAATTGACTTTAATGTTAGAGATTTGAGCATCTCCTTTAGGTTCTAAAGGAATTTGAAGCTCTTCAGATCATATTGTGGTTGGAATCAAGCACCAGAACAACAGATTGGCTTGGTGTAGGAGGTCATATTTAATTTAAGTATCACATCTCATTTTACATATATATATATATACACACACACGCATATACACATACATATATACAGTGAATGGTTTGAACATTTAAAGCTTAAAGAGAACAGAACATTAAATATATACACATGTATTTGTATTTATACATATATACATATTTTTTATTTATGTTCCAGGGAAAGACAAAGAAAACACTGAAGATGGAGTTTTATAGCCAGGACCCAAATGTTGGTTGCCGAAAAAATTATTTTGTTGACAAAAGCCTAAAAAAGAAGAAATCAATGACAAGGTAGATGAAAAGAAAGAAATCTTTTAGAGATTTCCTGTCTCAACTATAGGTTTTATGCTAGTTTTCTCTCCTGGTACTAATAAGAAGCCCAAGAAGCATTCTGTGAAAGTTTTATTTCTAGGAATTTTGGACACATTCCACTTACATTTTTATGGCCATCAAGAGACACATTAAAATAACAGTAGTAATAGATTCAGCATTAACTTGTTTTTAAATTTTTTTAAAATCTTCTGTGTAACAACACACGTGAATAGAAATTGCCAAAAGTAATTTTGCTTTTCTTCCTGCCCATCTGATTCGTATAGTAGTTGTTCAATAAACATTTATAGATTGAGTGGAAAGCTAGAACACTTCTTCAGTGAGAGGAAGAGTGCTGGGAAGGATTCCATCACATCACAGACTTTAGACAGTGCTTTTCAAACTGTGTTGACCACAGACTGCAATAAGAAACTCATTTTCCAGTGTGATCTAGTACATATATGGGTGTGGATATATGTATGTAAGAAAATATGTATCCTTACCATGTACAATTCCGCTATTATTTTCTGTTCTGTTACATTTTTTTAATAGTGATATGACCACTAGTTGATTTCACCACTTGCTCTTGGATTGTGAGAAACACTGCCTAATATAACAATATAAAATTTTTCTATTTATTGAAATTATATGTATATATCTCTCTCAACTTCTTAAATATCGGTTTATCTCAGTGAGTATGTGCAAATACTATACCTATTGAAGGTATAAGGTGTCATGGTAAAGTGTAATCACTTATTTTTTGTTATATGCCTGTAGTCCTTGCACAAATATACAAAAGTTTCCTTAGTGAAGACAGGCAAAACAAAGGCATACATGTGACAGATATAAGTAGTAAGCCTAACTCATCAGTATTTTTCTGTGCAGCAAATAGTATGTCATTTCTAAGTACGAGTGTGCATGGGATAAAGAAAAATACAAGGTATAGAATGAGAGAGGTGACCAAATCGGGCTGGTTTTAATGCCATTGAGAGCATTCCCAAGCCCTACCCATGTGCTTTCCTAGCTATGGTAAAATCAGTTCAAGTAAATCAAATTATTCCCTTAGTGGTCCTGGACAGTAGCTTTCTGGCTGGGCTTTGGGGACATTTACATTTCTGGATGAGTATTAACATCCTAAGAACTAGGTTGTCTTTCCTTTCTCCTGTTTTATTCCTTGTTGATAAGTCATGTCAACACTTCATTGAGAAGTAATGAAACTTGTCGGGAGGGGAAAAACAGCACATGCTAAAATAAAAATGTTTATTTGATGAGTAATAGAAGTGGGTTAAAACAATGTATCATAATGTTCACTTAGCATTTCTTAACTTGCTGGTCAGCAGCATTCAAAGCCTAATATTTAAAAATAGCTTTTATACCTGTACCTGTGCACTGAATCACTTCCAAATTGAGCAGTCAAACCTGTTTAAATCACTTTGCAAACTTCATTACATTACTTGGCTTTTTAAAATTCCTATCAAATTTAATAAGGACATATCTTACAGCTAGTTATCACTTAAATCTTATTATTTGGTCATTTAGATAAACCAAGAACAGATTAATCCTTTTTTGATGGCATTAAGGTCTTAATGTCAGTATAAACTTGACAGGTATGTGAGAGCAAGAGCTGTGAAGCGTTTGGTATTGAAGGGTTAATCAGATCATTTAGTCCTTGAAGCTCCTTTGAGTACATTAGCTGGAAAGAAATTGAATGGTTTAGAAATAGTATGCTATGAGACAAGCCATAAGTATCAGTGTACTTGAAATTTTCAAGAGTGCTTCATAAAATTCTACGTTGTGCAGCACTATCTTATTGCTCGTATGAGATGTATTGGTTCATGTATGGGACTGTTGCACAGGAAGGTATAATTAGATCTGTTACAGTAGATCTGTACCTTTCTTATATTTTGTGCTTTCTGTTGGCTCCTTCATAGTTGACAAGGTACTTTCAAAATCTTAGGGGAAAATATTTTTTAGTATGACACAAAAAGTTAAGATTTTTAATGCACAAGAGCTCTTTCAAAAGTAATAAGAAAAATCCCCAGTATAAAAGATAGATGAAGGATAAAAACACATAATTCACAGAAGAAGAACTACAAATGGATAGTTTTTTAAATGTTCAATTCCAGAGTAATCAAATTCAAATTTTAAAAACAGTGAAGCAAAAATTTTTAAGATTATAAGTAATTATTGTCTAGGTATGATAAAGTACTAGCAATGAACTTACACAAGAGGATAAAATACTGGAAAAGAAATGTCATTTTTATTACATGCAGATGATAAGCCGTGTATCAGGAAAATCACAAGAGAATCATCAGTGAAATAATTAGAAGCAATGAGGATTTAAAGTATTTACAAAGTATATAGTATTATTTTGAAGTTTTAATTAAGTCACCCAAAAAGATGACATTAGAGTCCTAAGCCCCAGTCAGTACCTCAGAATAGATTCTTACTTGGAAATACAGTCATTCCCAAAATAATTAGATAAGATGAGGTCATACTAGAGTAGGGTGGGCCTTAACCCAGTATGACTGATGTCCTGAAAAGACAATGTAAAGACAGGGAGAGGGCCATGTGACAAAACAGACTGGAGTTTATGCAGCTTCAGGGAATACCAGCATGACATGAGATGGTAAGGGAAAAGCATGGAACAGATTCTTTCCTTTTAAAGCCCTCAAGAGAGTATTGCCCTGCTGACTCCTCTAGAGCCATCAAGACAGTATGACCCTGCTCACACCTTAATGTTGGGCTTCTGTCCTCCAGAAATAAGAGACAATAAGTTTCTTCTGTTTTGAGCCACCCAGTTTGTGGTAGTTTGTTACAGCAGTCCTGGAAAACAAATACATAGATCCCTAAAGCTTTTCCATATGCCAGTAATAACCAAATACAGTGGAAAAAAAGATCCCCACTGAGAGTCAAAGAAAAAGGCATTTTAAAAAGTGACTTGTCCTATATATGGAGAGTTAATATTGGCAATATGTGGTTTCTCCCTATGTCAGTCTGTAAATTCAATGAAATAAAGTATAAGAGGGTTTGGGGGAAAGAATTT